TATCTTTGTTAAAGATCAGTGAACAATTTTTTTTCAAAATAATTTGAACTTACTCCGACGGATGCTATCTCTGAACCAGTAATCAGTTGATCCATACGTTTTAATCGAACTCGCTCTGCAACTTTCATGACCGGAATGTCAGTCTCTCTTGGAACACCTGGGAGAGCAGCTCCATGACTTGGAGAGCCAGGAATACTTGTGGAGCATGGAGCCATAGCAGATGGTGCAGGATTAGGCAGAGGACTATCAGCACTCTCGCCAGCACTTAGACGAATTTCCAAATCCCTTAACTAAAACAAATGGTGTTTCATTTTTGTAATCACATTATTAAGTACTTTTTAAAAGCACAATTTTTCTCATAAAGATATGAAAATATAGACTGACAGACATGAAATTTTATTAATGTCCATACATACTTTCCGCTTGAGGCGGTCTCTGTCATGGCGTAGAGCTTGTGAACGAGAAAGTTCAGTATTCTGGCGCGCTAGTTGATCTGTTAGTGTTGCGTTTTCTGCTCTAGCTTGAACAAGTTCATCACGTAAAGCAGCAATTTCCAGACTATGGTAGGAAAGCGAGCCCCCCCTATTAAGAGTGCTTCTTTTGACCTGGAAAATAAAGTAAAAAGATATTCAACAATTTGAAAAATTGTAATAATTTTACTGAGATGTATCAATGAACTGATGACTTACTGGTAGGGGATGGTCTAAATCACTGTCCGAGCTGTTGTTTGAAACAACATCATCAATTGTTTGTTCCACATCCTGGGCGTCTGATTCATCAGCATTAACAACACCCCTTTGAAGAGCGCCATCATCAAAATCTGAAAATATAAAGAAAATCGTAGCGCATAACATGTATTATTCTGAGAAAAATAAAGGTTGCAGTCAGCCATTCCTTTTGAAAAACCAAATTGTTACCTGAGGAGAGTTCGACATCCTCGTGGACGCTGGCACCAGATTCATGGTCCTGGCCACCCCGTCCCGCCTGATCCTCCCCGTCGTGGTCCTCGTCGCATTCGGTCTCCTCGTCCAGGGCCTCCGCAATGACAGCGCTGCGCTGTCGGTCCAGCTTGCGGCTCAGCTCGGCAATCACGCTGTGCAGCTCGGTGATCCTTTGGGCCTGGGACTCCGCATCCCCTTCCAGGCGCAGCCGCTCCACCTGTAAGCCATGCCGAGGCCGCCCGTTAGAGTCGGGGTAGGCAACCTCTGCGCCCACCTGTGCGGCCGTGGTTTGCGGTGGGCCTACCCACCCAGGCGGCGCCCTTCCCTACCTCCGTTTTTGAGAGGGCGGCCTCCAACAAGTCTCGCTCCTCGGACGCGGCGAGCAGCCTCTCGGTGAGGTCCAGAATGTCGCCCTTCAGGGAAGTCAGCGCCGCCAGGTGCAGCTGCAACATGGAAGAAACGAAGAGTGTTATTCGAATTACTGTTATGATGCACATGCATGCAAAAAGTTCGCGTTGATATCACTGCTCCGATGCGGCGATGCACCGTAAACTGCGGACAACATGTCCAATATACCCCATGAAGGAGAGGGAAAAGAAACACGCCCCCGGGTGGGGTCGAACCACCAACCTTTCGGTTAACAGCCGAACGCGCTAACCATTGCGCCACGGAGGCCGATGGGATGCCCGGCTCACCGAGAGCGCCCACATATCAACGCCCTGGCTCGCCGAGAGCGCGGGGCTTATCTGTCTGCCACACGGAGTGAGGATGTCACCAGCCAACGTCATTTTATTGCAATATGCGATAAAGGGAATTTCTCACAACGATATAGGAAGAAAATATATGGGGGCCAAGAACACGAGGATTTGACTTGGACCGGCGAGGCGAGGCCTGCACCCGAGCGACCCGAGCAAGCTACCGCTCGGCAGTCGCGAGTCGCGACCGAGCCGAGCAAGCCGAGCCACGAGCATGCGCACTAGGCCGGCCCCCTCCACAAACATCCCCCTCCTCCGCACCGAGCGGCACCAACAAGCGAGCCTCGACCTCCAATGCGCTCTCTGGAGCTCCACCGCCACCACAGCAGAGTGGCGCAGTGGAAGCGTGCTGGGCCCATAACCCAGAGGTCCGAGGATCGAAACCTTGCTCTGCTAGTAATCTTTTTGCCTCGGTCATTTTTAAACATGTAAAATCCTAACGAACAATTCATTTTCACGGGGTAGGGAAGATCTCAGTTCTCCTGGTGAAGTGCACGGGGGGGGGGGGAGAAGCCCCGTTCCGACTCAGGACAGAGCCCTGATTTTTCCAAGATGCACTCAAGGCAGTTTACGAAACGACACGTACCAGGTGGCTGATTAACCCCGCGTACGTCTGTAGTTTATACTGTACCGCACGCACGAGTGCGGGCGGGCTTGCCTACTCGCTCAGCTCGCAAGGCGCCGTGGCGTGGACAGGGACGATAGGCAAGCACGCCCGCACTCGTGCATGCGGTACAGCATAACTACTAATGTGCGCGGGGCGAGGCGCGGGGTTAATCAGCCCTGGTCCTGGCATACAGGGTGGTCCACTGACCCCTTCCTTCATTTTGCTTATACTGAGCCGCAAGCAGGCGTGCGGGAGGGTTGCATACTTACACGGAGCCATGCCATAAGGCCCCATAAGGCGCCGTGGTGAACGACGGTAGGCAAGCACGCCCGCATGCCTGCACTGAAAATGGGTTGGCGTCTTTTGACACCAAAATATTGGCGTCTTACGACGCCAAATTCTGGCGTCTTGTGACGCCAAATTCTGGTGTCTTGTGACGCCAAATTTTGGCGTTCTTTTACTGGATGCCAATAATTGGCGTTTTATGACGCCAAAATATGGCGTTCCTTAGAGGACGCCAATATTTTGGCGTCATAAGACGCCAACCCATTTACATACAGTGTGCATGCGGTGCAGTTGCAGTATAAGCAGAATAAAGAAAGGGTTTCTGTGGACTACCCTGTATGTAGCGTTATCTTGAAACGTGCCCTAGGATATATGAAAATAAACATACCGGAGATCTGGCTTATGAATTTCAAAGGCAAATTAAATAAGCATGGGCTGTAAAGTCGAGAAAACATTTTAAAAAGTGCGACAGCCGGGAATCGAACCCGGATCAACTGCTTGGAAGGCAACTATGCTAACCACTACACCACTGTCGCCTTCTGAACGCTGAGATCACGCCGACTCGTGAACACCAGTCCCTCAGAGGGTGCTGACCGAGAAGCGCGTTGTGGAGAAAAAGGGAGGGGGGTAGGGGCAGGCCAAGGGAACATAAGGAGGCAGTCTCCCATTTCGCTTTGAGCAGCTATCCCGTACAGAGAGGGAATGCTGATAAAGAGAATGACATCGGCGAATGGAGTAGAATTAGAATGGAGAAGTGTGCGTGTGTGCGTGTATGTGTCGGAAAAGGAGAGAGAGGGGGGGAGGTGGGGGATACGGAATACATAGAAAATAAGCTGTCGGGGAAAGATAGAAGAGACGATATGGCGAGCGCGCGGGGCAATAAGAGAACTGACGCACGGCCAGATGCGGCCAGAGGGGAGGGGCTTGACCTTTGGCCTTTCCCCCTCGCGAGCACGAGGGGGCAGCCCCGCGTGCAGCAGCAGCACTGTCCGGCGGGTCAGGGGTCAGGGGGATGATGATTGTGAGGGGGCGAGCATGGCCTCCACGTGGCCTTCGCACTCGCGGTCAGCAGCAGTGGTGGCCCGCAATAAAATCGACACACGTCGAAGCCAACAACACCGGCGCGGGCATAACGGCGCACGAAAGTCCCGCGAGCATCACGACGGCGACCACGGCGGACAAGGAGGCGGCCGGCCACGTGGTTAGTGAGCGAGTCCCTCGGCAAGGCCTCCACGACGCGCGCCGAAAAGTCGTGACAGAGAAGTCATAGAGAGATCCGAGGGGCACATCTAGGGTTGTAAGGGACTCTCCCGGGCGAGGCCAGAGGCCAGAGCAGAGACCCCCAAAAATAACCGAACCTGAAAAAAAGAAGGGTGGAGCCATCGAAGCGCCTGGCGGTGAGACCGCGTGGCAGCTCAGCAGCAGAGAGTTGTAGGATAGGAATGAAAAAGAAAAGAGGAGTCTTCTCGCAATGTGTGTGCGGGAAGCAGAGGGAAAACTCTGCCCTTTACTCGCGCCCCGCGAGGCGTTGCGTGGCTTCCAACAACAAATCAGAATCGGGCACCCCCTAATGCCTCACGTAACGCACGCAGAGCGGGAGTTGGGGATGGTCGGAGGGAGAGAGGAGGGGAGGGGGACAAGGCCAGGTGAGTAGGCTCTTCCGATCGCGCCAAGGACAAGGAGCAAGAATGAGGAGGGAGGGGAGGGGGGGGAGGAGAAGAAGAAAGTGGCGGGAGAGCGAGCGGAGCGATCCGCGTCGAGGAGCAGCAGACCACTCTGCCTCGAGGCCACCCTTATCACCGCCCGGCTAGCTCAGTCGGTAGAGCATGGGACTCTTAATCCCAGGGTCGTGGGTTCGAGCCCCACGTTGGGCGTTTCCCTTTTGGCGGTTTCACCCTTTTCGCGGTCTGACGCAACCGCGTTTCCGATTGCTGACTTGACGAGAATGACGGAGCATGCAAGCAGCAGAGTGGCGCAGTGGAAGCGTGCTGGGCCCATAACCCAGAGGTCCGAGGATCGAAACCTTGCTCTGCTAGTAACATTTTTTTAAAACTCAATTTGAAAGCCGAGCAAACAGAACAAATCAAGCAAACAGTTGTTTTAAACTCATCGGTAAGTTAAAAATTAGGCACGTCGCGGTAGTGAAATCATACTTGCCTGGACAAGAAATCAATAAACCTACAGTCATTTAAAATACTCAGACCCAAAGAAACATTCAGGGTGGTCCATAGTCCCCTTCTTTTTTTTGCTTATACTGTACCGCACGCAGGCGTGCGGGCGGGCTTGCCTACTGTCGCTCACCACGGCGCCTTATGGCCCCGTGTGAGTATGCAACCCGCCCAGCCGACTGCATGCGGTGCACTGTAAGCAAAATAAAGGGTGGTCTATGGACCACCCTAGACCAGGTTGGCCCACTAACTCTTGATTTCGCTCTTTCTTTCTCTCTTGAGTACCGCGTGTGGGAACGCACATTGGGGAAGCGGGAAGCCTCCTCCCCAAGAGAAAATAGAGTGGAAGCCGCCGACCCAGCATGGCTATAACACAACTTTGCACCAGTGCTCTTATTTCTTTTAGGGAAGAAAATCAATGAGAACTGGAGAATTTACCAAACAAGGGTAAAAGAATTGATCCCGGCCGGGTTCGAACCGGCGACCATCTGCGTGTAAAGCAGATGTGATAACCACTACACCACGGGACCGCGGTGGTGGTGGGGGCCCCGGGCGTCGACCAGACGGAAACGAATGAGGCGCGCCGCGCTCGGCGAGGAGTGGGGGGAGTGGGGGGCGCGCGAGGGAGGGGGAAGGGAGGGGGTCAAGGAGCCGCGCCGTCGGGCCTCGGGTCGCGCTCGCGCGCAGGACGGGGGCCGCGAGGATATGATGGGACACTTTTACGCGACGGGATAAAAGTACAGTAATGACAAAATGGTCGAATAAATCGGTGATGTGATGATGGGCAGGTTTTGCTGGCCGTCAACGTGAGCAGCTCATCAAGCGAAGAGACGGTAGAGTTCCAGCAAAGTTTGTCAGCTCGGTGAGCTCCCTGAGGAAGTCCCCGCCCTGCTCCTCTCTCCGAGTTGATTGGTTTTAGAGGGAACGGTTCTTTCCAGAGCTGGAGCTGCACTCTGAGCGGCAGGTATAGCGGTCCGTTCCCCCCAAGTCCTCCTCCTCCCCTTCCCCCTCCTTTTCATTCGTTCCCTCGCTCGCCCCCGGCCGGCCGGTTTCGCTCTGCAGCGCGCCGCTCTCGCTTTGAGGACTATCGAAACGCTCGCGCTGCCAGCGACCCGACAGCCGTGATCGTATAGTGGTTAGTACCTTGCGTTGTGGCCGCAATAACCCAGGTTCGAATCCTGGTCACGGCAATCAGCGGGTCAATTTTTATTTATTTATATTTCTTTACTACTCTGCGTAGCGTCGTTGTAGGTCGTGGAACCGGTGGAACACTCGGTGCACTAGAGACGCCGATTTGCTTTTGTAAAGGTTTCCGTTTTTGTTCACCACATATGAAATGTGCGAAAGTCAATACAGTGCGAGTTGGGGAAAATGGTATGGGTCGCGGCGCGGGTGCGGGTAGTCGCGGTGGGCGGGCCATAGACCACAAAGCACCACAGACCAGACCAGCAGGTCGTCGAACGCGTTTGCAGTCTGTGGCGCCCACCAACAGCACAGCACGGTCCTAAATACCCATGTCCGCGGCGGTGCAATAAATTGGGTGGCACGTTTCCGCCGCATTGGCCTCCATCGGGTCGGGCTGCGTGGTCGATCAGACTACTGGCTCCGAGCTGTCACGGGCAGACGGCGCGAAGGGCACACACAACGCGCCGGGGAATGGGTTCCTCTCCTCTCCCCCTTCTTCCATTTCTCTTTCCTCTTTCTCTGGCCACGTCCCATAGCGTCTTCCTTCG